TATATATATATATATATATATATATATATATATATATACATATGCATATATGTATCATATATGTATCATATATGTATCATATATGTTGTGATGTGCTCCTAACTCTCTGCTTTGCTGCTGAACCTCCAGCCGTTTGCTCTAAAAGCAGAGAGCACGACACATGAATGAAGCCAACGTGAGACAGCCTGTCTCCTTCTCCTGTCCGTCTGTCTGGAGTGTTTTCTAAATGAGCTCAACATGTCTGCACTAAACCTTTTTCTTTCCTCCCTCAAGTGTTCAGTGAGACAGAAGGGAAAAGATTTTGGTTAAATGGTATCTGTCAGGCTTGTCGGCTAATTAAATGAAGCTTTGCACAAAGCCAACACTTTAGAGTCATGACTTCAAACCTGAGCGCAGCTTTCAACCAAAGCCACTTTCACCCAGTGATGGAAGGAAATGTAAATTTAGTGGAGAACTGTGTCACCCTGGATGCTCATTTAATAAAACCTGGAGGATGTGCCTTCAGGCACAGGCTATGTCTTTAAACATTAGCAGTCAAAGTGTTTATTTTAATTTACAACTAAATCATGTTGCATCATTTTAAATTACATAAAGCTGCAGTGAATCAAGAGGCAGTGGAGGTTTATAAAGGAGTGAGGGACATGTTTGAGTTTCTAATGATTTAATAAAAACAAATGAACAAAACACCTGGTTGACATTTTCAGCTCTTCTCACATGGCCTTCTCTGGGAAAGTACAATTAATAACTCAAGTGAGGTAAATAGTTATTTTGAACAGCTTTGATAGGGATAAAATATTTGTTTCTGACCAAACTGACAAACTGTTTGCTAGTCTGAGTGGGGCACAATTGACATGGATCATTGGCAGCCTGAAAAAACACAATCTTTAATAGTTTATTACAGTTGTTTTTATACGTATACATCACCAAATATTAGCATTGTACAACTATTCTAATAGAAATACTATGATGGAGTGTTCCAGGCTGCAACAGTGTTACAGTCAGCTGTTGTTCTAATCATTTGTTTCTAAATATAAACTTAGAATTTTCTAGAAATAACTGTTGTAAAAAATGATGGTCAAGTAAAAGGGAGTATAGTAAAGAGAGACAGGAGTTGTAGTGAATATTGTTGGTTTTGTCACCATTCAGAGCAGCTGCTCATCAGGACTCCATCCATCCATCCATCCATCCATCCATCCATCCATCCATCCATCCATCCATCCATTTTCTTTACCCGCTTCTTCGTTTTAGGGTCGCGGGGGTCGCTGGTGCCCATGTCCAGCCATCACCGTGTGAGAGGCGGTGGACACCCTGGACAGGTCTCAAGTCCACCACAGGGCCTCACTTCTGCAAACTGAAGTCATTTAAAGATCTTTCTCTAATGGGAAATGTTCATAACCTTCTTATAAAACTACACTTCTAATAATCTGACCTATCGCTTCATTTTCATGCAAGTTTTCAACAAGTTCAAGATTTCGACATCAATGTAATTAAAAGGTCGCAATAAAATCGTGTTGTTTTACAGGAAAACAGTCAATTCTAAGATGAGTTTTGTAAATGTCTGACAAAACTCTGGATTTTCTCACATAATAGAACTGTTCCAACTTTTTCCCTGCAGCAAAACCCGTCATGTTTTACTCCAATCCCACATGTTGATACAAGCTAATTTTGTCTGCTTTAAAAGTGAGCACAACATATTTCATTAACAGAAAAAAAATCTACTCAACAGAAAAAGAAAAAAGAAAAAAACCTTTCACAGATGAGCACACCTCAGTGTTCTCCTTTCCTTCATGTTGTGAAGGTAGAGAATGAAATACATCTCTTCTACACAAATCTTGTTTAGCTTTCAGTTTTTCCCTCCTCAGGTACTTTGAGGAACTGATAATTTTTCAGTGGTAAAGTACAAACTACGAGAATGTGTTGGCCAACAAAAAGACAGAAAATGTTTCAGATTCTTAGCCTAACCACACTAAATATTCTAATCATCATTTTTATATTTTGATTAATTCAATGACACTGAATATTCTTTAAAAGCATTATTTGTCAGTTTAATAAAAAACATGCAACGGTACCACTTTAAAATAAGGCTTCCCTTATAGATGGCTAATAAATAGTTTATATATTGCGTGAGTGCAGCTACGGAGTGCGCTCTCAGGACATTATTACCTGCAGTGTTCCCTCAATGAGGACTGAAATAGGCAAAAGGA